TTTAAACAGACTCTCTTCATTGTTCTAAAAGCTTGATTAGGTAATTGATGACACATATATTTATAATCTAATATTTCCTGCTAGATATATGTTCTTTTCTGGATATATATTATTTTGAACAATAAGCATTTAAATAAACACAATTTATTACATATATGCCTTCTGACATCTAATCAAGCTTCATGTTACTCTGACCCACATTAGCCAGTGAACTTCTTAATGGAACTTTTTAAGATTCAGATTAGTAATTAGTAATTTCTGCTTCCTTTAATAAGCCAAATATTTAATAACTTCTCAGTAGTCTGATTAGTCTTTGTGGGATTAATCCATATGAAAGACCTCAGGGTCACAAGGAGGTGAAATACACAAGCATATATATAACTTATAAAATCTGACTATGCTCCATGGAGTTTACCAATGTCCAGTTCCTAGTTCTGCTCCAGTATTGTAGCTGTGCAAGATGTCAAGCAATGGGAAAGGTGAGGTAAAAGGTGCACAGGACCTCCTGACTCATCTCTACATCTACAATGTACAGTGTACATTGACATTTCAAAATGAAAAGTTCAAAAATGAATGAGGATGTAGAAGTATGAACATTCTTCATATACTGATAAAACTGATACATTCTGCCAGTAGGTTGGCAATATGTAATAGAAGACTTGAATGTTTTACCTTTTAACCTAGCAATTTCTTTGCTAGAAATTTGGGTACATATTTTCAAAGACAGATGCAAAGTAATCTAATACATTATTTATACTTGTGTAAAATTAAAAAAGAAACTATCCAGTAATAGAAGACTGATTAAATAAATGAGAGTATATCTAAAAAAAGAAACATTTTTTCAAAAGTCCACAAAACATTTTTGCTGTGCTAATTCCAACTCTTGGTAGCACCATGTATTACAAAGTAGTGTTCTTGTTTTCTTGCCTGTAATCTTTACAGAAGCCTTTCTTCTGCAGGGTGAGTTCAGACTACGACTACCCCTTAGGTAAAAAGTCAATCACATACCATTTTCAATTTTTAAGGAACTTCTCTTAAAAAGTAAAATATTAAGTAAATTTTAAGAATTAAATAATTGATAGAACATTTGATTTTTAGAGGCATGTAATTTAAGTATGTATAGAGGCACAGAAACATTTCTGAAAGGTCAGTGTCAAACTGTTCACAGAAGATGGATGGTTAGTTTTGAGGATAATCTTGTTTTATTTTTTTTATTCTCTTTTTACTTACTGGTATTTTCTAATTACTAAACAATTTATACTTCATGTATTAACAAAGATTTTAAAAGTTAAAGAAGATAAAAATGCTTATAAATTAAAATCTTATTTAAAAATCTGACATTAAGCCTTTTTGACATTTTAATAGTTTATGAAGCATTTTTATATACCTATCTGATAGACATCTTTTTATCATTTCAGTAAAATTATATCCTGTTTTATCGATGATAAATCATAATCTGATAACCTGAGACTTCCAAAGGCAGTTTAACAAAAAGATTAAGTAATCCTGATCACCAGATCCACACAAAATTTACTTACAGCTCTGAAGTTTCAATATATTTTGCAGTCCCTTCAATAGTGTTGCAGTATTCTGTGGCAAATTTGGTAATAAGCTGGAGTAAAGTAGCACTTTTGTCGTCCACAGGTTCCCCATAGCTATTTAGAAGAGACTGATACTGAGCAGCTAGAACATTTATTCTTGTTTTCAGCTCTGGTAAGCAGTCTCTGATGTGATGCATCAATAACCTAACAGAGATTAAAACAAAGAATGTTAAAGGAAAACTGTATTTTCTGAAGACCCAGATAGGACAAATTTTTAAAGTGCGAATAATAGAGAAAAATCTGTCAAATTATTTATCTTGATAGGAAATAATGCAATCTTAAAATACAGATAAATGAGGCTATTTTGATCAGTGCTATCTTAATTTGCCTTCATCCTATCAAATGGTAGTTAACTGCTAGATAATCAAATGAAAAAAAAACCCAAATATATTATTTTCTCAATGTGCTCAAAGAAAGTAAGCCACTTGATCTAATTCTACCTGTATGTTCTGGGGTGGTATTTTTTTTTTTTTTAATTTATGTCCCTATCACTTTGAAAATGAATCTAAGGTCTCTGTCATTGATTCAGTTCTGACTCACAGCAACTCTCTCAAATCTTAATGAGGAAACACTGCCCATTTTTCCCTCAGAGATGCTGGTGGATTCATACTGCCTGAAATCTCAGCCTTTTTTTTTTACTAGCACAATACACTTTAGACTATGCCACGAGAGGGTCTTTTTTGAGATGTAAGCCAATGCACTAATTGATTCCAAGGTTGTGAATAAGACAAAAATAAGAGAAACCAGCTTTTACTCAAGTAATTTATAAATCATCTAGAAATATCTTCTGGCCCCTATACTTTACCAATCGCTATTCAGAATCCATGGTATACAATTAGAACTCTACTATAAATAAAAATTACAGACAAACTAAAAACGTTATTGTTGTTGTGTACCGTCGAATTGGAGCTGACCCATAGCAGGTTTTCTGAGGCAGTTAATCACATGGGAAGAGACTGTCCATCCTTCTCCCATGGAGCAGCTGGTGGCCTCGAACCGTGTGCCTTCAAGATTACAGCACAGCTTCTTGCCACTAGGCCACCAGAGCTCTTTAAATTAAAAATGGATTATGTAAAAATCAGAAATTCAGTTCTGTTCTTGAAATTTAAAGTGAAAAATAAATCATATTCTATCATAAAAATTATAGTGCTCTTCAGGGACAGAGATCCTTGTGCCAGCCAGACCTACAGCAGAGCAGCTGCAGCAGAAAATCAGAGACCCAACCTGAGAAAGAGCTAACCTGGGACTGCTACCCTATGGAACCAGGTCTTTGTCCACACTTGCTGGAGAATTTAGGGGCAAAACACCATAATTAGCAGGACTAAGCCAGCTTTGTATTGCTGGCCTAAAGTCACAAGGCTGAAGGTCAAAGGACTTGTGACTGTACTTGAGAAGCTGTCCTGACTGAGAAATTGTATCCTACTGACTTCCCTAATAAAGCCCACAATCACAGGGGAGTGGGGATTATGTTAGAAGTGTATATCCTCCCAACTAGTAAAAGGGAGCTCTGGTAGCTTAGCGGTAAGGAATTGCCCTGCCAAAGCAAAAATACATAGTTTGAATCCACCAGCCACTCCGCAGGAGAAAGATGGGCAAACTCCTCCTGTAGGATTAAACTACCTCTGAAAACTTGCTGGAGGGTCAGCCAGTGGTCTGTTCTGACTCAACCACCACAACAAAAACAATTGTAGTAAAAAGGGAACTCTGGTGGCCTAGATATTAAGGTCTTAAGTCCTCTCAACCCAAAGGCAGGTGGTTTGACTCCACTAGTTGCTGAATAGGAGGAAAATGGGCACTCTCCTCCTGTGCAACTTGTAGCTTCTAAAAATCTACAGCTGGAGAGTCAGCTTTGGGTCAATTCTAACTTGATGGCAATGAGTCTTTGTTGAGACTCTAGTAAAACCAGAGACCCCTATTTTATAAGAACCTACAAAAGGAAACTAAAACTGAACACATGAGAATACTGAAAATGTAAGTAACTAACAATAGAAGAGTATTAAACACCTATAGATAGCAACCTAAAACCATCTCATTTTCCAAAAGGTAAAAAAAATGTTACCTGTTTAGAGTCCTAGCAAGATACTTTGTTCCATTTCTGTTGGCCAGAGATGGATATTTCTTTTGAAGAAAAGCATATTCATCACGAATTGAATCAGTTACACTCTTCTTATTGTTAATATCCAGCTGGCTCCTAAAGTTGAAAAATAGCATAAATCATTAAAGTCAAATTATGGTCATTAGTGACAGTGCTGCTGGTGATGACAGTCATATGCCAGGCATTGTTCCTGTGATATTAATGGCTTAGTGTTCAAAATTACTTTCCTGGCCATTGCATTTATTTTTCCATGTAGATGGATGGGAATATACAAATAAGGAGTGTTAGCCTATTCACAAGGGGATTGGCTAGCCTCTCCATTAAACTTAGTGGATCCAGCAGTAGAACTACACTGCCAGCAAAAGAGAGGCAAAAATTGTAATAGGTCCAGAGATTCTACAGCCTACCAGAACAGCCATATCAACCACAGTGCTGAACCAGAGACCTGACATGAGATGGAGTGGACCTTGGGACTGCCAAACACTGAACCAGTGCTAAGAGCCTTTTCTCCATGTTTTCTAGAGGATGGGGGGGTTGGGGGGGGGGGTTGGCAGATGACACACGGAACATACACACACACAGACACCATAATTGGCAGGAATGAGAGCTTTGTAACATTAGCCTAAAGGTAGGAGGCTCAAGGCTAAGGCACCTGTGAGCAAATTTTGGAAGCTGTCCTAACTATATTCTACCTTTTGACTTTCCCACTATGATTATGTGGTTTGTGATTTTGAACCCAGTAAAGGAGTAAGATTGGTTGGGATGAGCAGAAAGAGGTGTTAGAGCATGGAGGACATGTCTTGACATCATAGGAATTTGTTTGTTGACCTTGTTGACAGAGACAGTTACCCTTTTTGAAGTTGATAAAGGTCAGATGTGGCTATCCCCACAATGGCCAGTTATTTTACTTAATTTTCAAAATAGTTTTACATGATGAGTCAGAGATTTAACTAATTCACTCAGACTTTCAAATTATATGTAGTATAACCAAATTCGGAATTATATGACTCAAAAATAATGCCTAAATAAACTCACTATTAACTTTATTCAAATGCAGGACTCTTAGTGGAATAGACAGGTGCACAGAAGTGTGTTTTTATCAACTGTATCTTTTATCAATGCACAGACAACCAATACCTAAATAAGAAATTATACCACCTACTTGCCTAACAAGGGAAATAGTGGGATTTTTTAATAAGTGGAAGTGGGATCAAAAGGCATATTAAAACTGGAAGAGAGCTTAAAAGTAATTATTTAATAAAATATTTTCCTCTAAACTCCAAGATAACAGGTGTCATTTAAACTCCCATTATATCTACTCTGTGAAAGACCTAGGAACCCCTGATTTTATGACAATTTATTTCTATGCTTCCTGGCTTCTAAACACTTTAGGTTAAGAGAGATTTCCATTTGAAAATGGTTTTGACTTTTATTAGTCATGTGACTTTGATAAATGGGTAATGTAAGTTTTCTGTTTATAGAATAGCCATTAACACCTACCTCACAGAGCTGCTTGCAAGATTCAAAGAGATACCATTTACAAACTGCTGTCACTCAGTAGAGTCTAAAACATAATTGTTCTGTGCTGTCAAGTTGAATACAACTCAGAGCGACCCTATGAACAAAAGATTGAACCCTGTTCTATCCTATGCCAACCTCATCATCTCTGACACACTTGAGCCCATTGCTAAAGCCACTGTGTCAATCCATTTTACTGAGAGTCCTCCCCTACTTTGCTGACCTTCCACCTTTCCAGGCATGATACTGTTTTTCTAAGGAATAGCATCTAGCAACATGCCCAGAGTATGTGAGATGAAGCTTCACCATCCTTGCCTTCAGGGAGCACTCTGGCTGCACCTTCTGACATACCTCTTTGTTTATTTGGCAGTTCATGGAAAATTCAGTACTCCAGCATAATTCAAAGGCATCAGTTCTTCTGTCATCCTTATTTACTATCTAGCTGTCAGACACATAGCATATGATTGAAAAGACTGGCCTGAATCAGGCACATCTTAGTCTTCAAATTAACCTTCCTGCTTCTCAGTATTTTGGAGCGGTCTCTGACAGTGGGCTTGCTCAATTAAATACATCTCCTGATCATCTAGTCCCAAGGATACTGATTGTGAAGATAAGTTAGATGACATAATTAGACCTTCAATAACAGTTTTCTTTCCACAATTTTAACATTTATAACTGGGAAATATGTAATAAAATTTTTCCAAGTCACATCTTGGTAGTTAACATAAAAATACTCATACTACAGGTTAAAAACCAATCTATTACAACCCATTTACATACAATGGATTACAATTCAGTTCCATACAATCTATTACAAGCTTTTTCTTAGACTATAAATTAAGACAATGCTTCCTTTGCCTTTCCTTATCCAATGCCCTACTTAAGCATAGTTTAACATACAGGCAATATTTCTTAAGGCCTATCTTAAGAGTGCTTTGGTGGTGTAGTCCATAGAGAGCTGTACTGCTCAATCAAAGGTAAGCCTCTCTGGTGACTGGGATCTATTAGTGGCTCTGAGAGAAAATGATGCACTGTCTCCTCCTGTGTGATCCACAGGCTCTGAAAACCTGCCAGAGGGTCACCTATGACTTTAGACACATTTCCTATTAAGAATATTTACAGAAGACCTTAGTGAATTCTGTTTTATCCTTGGATAATTAAAACAGATTTGACTTATACCAACCCTATATAACAGAGAACAACTGACTTGTATGATAGTCTAGGTAATCATCTCCTACAGAGCAGCTAGTGGGTTATAACGACCAAGCTTTCAGTTAGCAGCTATGTAAGTACTTAAGCACTGTGACACCAGAGCTCCTTTTCTCCCTAAAATAATCAATTCATTGGCAATACCAAGACTATTAGAATGCAGTAGGAGGAGTCACTATCACATTTCAGAAACCCATTTTAAAAATTCAGACATGTTCTGAAAGGAGAATGTTATCATTATCACATTACTTATTACTAACCTGTTAACTACTCCAATTATTCCAAGTTTTACTGGTATAACCCTTCCCATCAATACATCCATGGCATCAGTACCTGCATCCATGAGGTCAAGTTTAGTGATTACAGCTAAGGTTCTTCGACCTGGAAGATACAAAGGCAGAAAATGATCCATTAATAACAATCAGTAGTATCAGTAGTAGCTGTTGTCATATGCTGTCGAGTTGTCTGCAACTCATAGTGACCCTATGTACAACAGCCCTAAACCCTGCTCAATCCTGTGCCAATCTTATTGTGTCTGATACACCTACCCTCATTACCCCCATCACTAAACCAATCCATCTCACTGAGGGTCTTCCTCTCTTGTGCTGTCCCTCCACCATCCCAAGCATAATGTCTCTCTCCAAGAACTGGTCCCTCCTTGCAACATGCCCAAAGTATGTCAGATGAAGCTTCAAAATCCTTGCTTCCCAGGAGCAGCCTAGTTTCACCCTCTCTAGGGCAAACTTGTTTGTTCTCCTAGCAGTCAATGGTATATTCAATACTCTTCTCTAGCACCACAGCTCAAAAGCATCAATTCTCCTATCATCACTAGCCATTTTCCAGCTTTCTGATGCGTCACAAGTAATTACAAAGACTGTGACCTGGATCAGGCACACCTTAGTCTCTAGACAGACATTGTTGCTCTTCAGTACACTAGAGAGGTCTCTGATGGCAGACACTTCCAGTGCAATTCATCTTTTATTAATTTCCTGGGTGCTAGTACCAAGAGTGTTGATTGTGGAGGCAAGCAAACTAAAGCTGTTAATAATCTCAAACTCTTCACCATCTATCATCATGACAGTGGTGAGAATCTTTGCTTGATGTTGAGCTTCAATCCATATTGAAGGCTGCAGTCCTTGACCTTCTACAGCAAGCGCTTCAGGTCCTCCTCAGTTTCTGCAAGCAAGGTTGTGTCATCTGTATAATGCAAACTTGTTAAAGAGTCTTCCTCCAATTCTGATGCCACATTTCTCCTCATAGAGCTCAGACTCCCAGATAATCTGTTCTGCATAAAGATTGAAAAGGTATAGATAGGACACATCCCTGGTGTACACCATTCCCAATTTTGAACCGTGCAGGGTTTCCTTGCTCTGTTCTAACGACTGCCTCTTGGTCCAAGTATAGGTTTCTCATAAGCACAAACAAGTGTTCTGGGATTTCCATTCTTCTCAGTTAGCCACAGTTTGTTGTGATCTACATAGTCAAATGCCTTTGCACAGTCAATGAAACACAGAAAGGCATTCCTCTGGTATTCCCTGCTTTCAACCAAGACCCAACTAACATTAGCTACAATATCCCAGTCTGCACTTTAGGCAGTTCTCTGTTGCTGTTCCA